CATTGAAACATCTTTTTTTATTTATATTGTGTCATTATAGATCAAACTTATTCGTTCAGTGTATATTTATTTGTTTTTGTGCATTGTCTTTTTGATCGAGTTAAATGATTTCACTTGATATTTTATTGTGTGTCTTTTTATGTTGTAATGTTATACCACTGTTTCATATTAGGGTGAAGGTTAGTGCCTGTTAAAACGTTTAAAACCGCTGTATTTTTTTTGCACCTGTCCTAAGTCAGGAGCCTGTTGTTCAGTGGTTGTCGTTTGTTGGTGTGGTTCATAAGTGTTTCTCGTTTCTCGTTTTTTTATATAGATTACACCGTTGGTTTTCCTGTTTAAATTTGTTTTACACTAGTCTTTTGGGGGCTCTTTAAAGCTTGCTATTCGGTGTGAGCCAAAGCTCCGCGTTGAAGGCCGTACTTTGACCTATAATTGTTTACTTTTTACACATTGTGACTTGGATGGATAGTTGTCTCATTTGCACTCATACCACATCTTCTTATTTATATCATTATGTAATTAAATCTAACAAAGACGTTAACCCCGTTAAAAAAAAATTTGACTGTCCTAAGTCGGAAACCTCGTCAGCGATTGCATTTTCATTTATCTTAATGATTTTGTACTATGTAGAGTAGGATGTTGGTGGCAGAACTTTGAATTATTTCGTATGATGAGACGATGTGCATATTATGTCGACTGATGCAAAAACAAAACGGATGTCGCAACGAATCTAGATCCAATGTGTTTTGTTTGGGGGGATTGATTCAGAGTCTCATTGATATTTCTCGGTTCTCATTTTATTCATATTAACAAACAGGAGTCTTTGTTGTGTACATTAAGCTGTTAATACGGCTATGAATAAAAGGAGATGTTGAATTTACGTCAATGATACAGTAACCCAACCAAAAAAATAACCAAAAAGATATCTTAACTTAAACATGAACGTCTTCAACAATAGTCAGAGGTTTATACAATAAGTCAAGTATTCGACAATAGACGTATGTCTATAAAAAATTTACAGCAATTATGTTGATATTCTAAGTTTTGATGAAAAAATGGGATGTAATTTGACGATAAACAAGTGATGAAATAAATTTCAGACTTAAAAGTTTAAATCATTTCAATTTTAATTTGCGCCATATTGTTACATGGAACAGATGACTTCATACACACATATCGCGTTTTATTAAATCCTTATATATTTTCCTAATATGATATGACATAAAACAAACCTATTGCAAAAAAAGAGACAAAACCAGATTCGCATCATTTATACATCCTTGGATCTCAAATGTTCGGCTGTGAGCGTTCCCGATGAAGGTGAATCCAGAACAGCGCTTCCGACAAATGAAATCAATAACGTGTTGTTTTCATTTTTTACTGCACTGGGTCGATACCTTTGCTGGTGGACTATCAGTCTCCGAGGGTACTATTATCAGCTCAATACTGACATGATTTAAAACAAACCTTTCTAAAATTGTCCGTTTATAAATTTTGAAGTTATAAAGAAGCCATAGTTTCAACTCCCTCAGGCAAAGTTGACCTCAGAAAGATTTGTTTATTTTTTTGTGTCCTATTTGGTTGTATAGCTCATCAACTGTTGCGGTCCTTGGCTTTCAAATATTCTTCTTTAAGCGTTCCTGGTGAAGGCAAATCCAGAAAAACGCTTCGGACGCATGAAAATACTATTGTGTTGTTTTAATATATTAGACTTCTCAGTTTGAATCGGATCGCATTATGTGTACGTATTATCTCGTGTTATCAAATCTATGCATTTTGGCGTGCATTTATTTTTTATTAAATAAATGCAATTATTGGCAAAAAATAGTCAAAAATACAATTTCAGTAATTTTTCAATTTTTTACAAATAATAATTACAATACTTATAGTACAATGTAGTAATACTTATAATAGTATAAAACTTACAATAATAAAATATTTGAAAGAGCTCACTGCTACATTGTACCAACCTTTGAAAATATGCTACATTAGTGATCTTCTAAGCTATAATGGTTAATAACCCCACATGGTATCACAGATTATAACATTCATGGCTATTAGTAGTAATTTTGTTTTGTCATTTTACTTTAAAGTTGTAATAGAATATAATATATATTTTCGTGTCAAAGAAGAGGCGGAAGATACAATTTAATGGTGTCTTTTAAAACTCATTAGTTCAAGAAAAACTGACGACTCCATGGCAAAGCAAGAAGAAAAACAGATAAGTCCATACCCTAACTACATAAAAAACTAAATCGCATGTATCCCACCAAAAACCGGGGGTGATCTCAGATGCCTGAAAAGTAGATACGCAGATCCTGCCTCACAGTTGCCATCTGGTATGTTTGTGATATTGAGTACAAATGTTGTGACAAGTCTCACTCGGTGATATCACATTCAAGAAAAAGAAGACACGGACACGATTGTGGTCACAAAAATAGAAACACATCCGTGGTCATCTGTGACACAGATTTTCCATAACGGTCAACCAACATAATACTAAAGACAGAATACTAAAGACTGAGCAACACGTGTTAAACCATGGCTATAGCGTGCTGTTTCATTAACGTTTTTTTTTTATTTATATGAATAGATATAAGAAGATGTGGTATGAGTGCCAATGAGACAACTCTCCATGTATATTTTTGATGCTACTTTTATAATGTTCAAATTCTCAGCAATCATTCCGATGTAGTCCATTATAGTCATATTGAATCTCTCTGGTCTAAATTCAATGTACCGCATGGTATTTAAAAAGAAATTTCTTATATTTTAGCTGTTTGGTACGTACTTATGTAATATCATGGACCTTCCAAGTCAGAAGTAAGCTTAAACAGTGATGTTTCAGTATATGGGGAGTTTATAGACATGAGCAACCTTGAAATAGACAGTTTTGAACTCAGTTTTATCAGCTAGGAATTTCTGAAATGGGCATATATAATTTTAAGATTTGGACAAATGATCAACACATTGCACGTGGTTAGGTAAAAAAGAAATATGGCAACAGCAATCATAACCAAATATTTTTAAAATATCATTTTTATCTAAACAAGATGCTGTTTATCAATTGAGTACAAAAATCAGGTTCAACTCATGTATCATGCTCAGACTGTACCTAAAAATTTATCTAAAAGTCCAATGATTATGAAAACATGGGTTTAACTCTTGCAGCTATTATATGGTATATTTAAAAATAAGATATATTCTCACTATTTCAGAAAAATACGTATTTGCAGTTAAACTGGCGTAACGAAATGCAGATTGATAAAACATATCCACTTGATGATGAAAGATGAGGTTTGTAGCTTGGACCCGCTTTATCAATATATGTGTATATAATAGGAATATATATTGGAAGTGGACAGTTGTACTTTAACATGGAATGCATTCCATGTTTAAGTACAATTCTCCACTTCCAATATATATTCCTATTATTACATGTACAATCGGGAACATTTATAAAAAAAAAATAACATACCTTGAGATGTATTTACAAAAAAATTTGCAGTCACAATATCAGTTTTTAAAAGTAAGATAATGTTTAATACTAGACGATACATTTCTACAATCGTTAAGAATTAATCTTAAACCAGTTTATTTCCTGGAGAAAAAAGGAGGATACATATATATACTTTTTCTGCTTTACTATAAACGATAATGTAAAGGATTCAAATGGTTATTGGGATACATGTTTCGTTTGTGAAATGCTTCTACCAGGAACAGACTATGGAAGTACTTAATCATCCATTTTTCAATGACGATTATTTGACCAGTCACAACTCATGAAAGTTGGAAATCGACTTCTAACATGTGAAACGAAAGGAAAGTTGAAATATATTTTTTATGTTTCCATGACATTGTCTTCGTTACGATCTAAATTATAAATACAGAAAACCGGTTAGATAAAAAAAAATCCAGCATAAAAAGATGTGCTTTATATGTGGCACCCGTCATGATAGTCCTGATATGTACATGTGCATTAATCAGTCCAATTCGATGATGTAAAAATAGCGGAAAGCACGAGGGCATTGTAGTTTCGACAATTGAAAGATATCACTGGTCATATGTGACAAAGATATTCTTTATCGGTCAACCAAATCATGGAAGCCTCTGTAAAAGATTCCATGGGATGACTGTAACTTCAGTACTTAAAAACTTTGGTCAATAGCTTCCTTTAAAATAGAACCCCTCTACTAAATAAAATCAGTATGGGAAATGAATGATAGTACCGACTGGGAAATACAAACTCCATTTTTAGACGCTGCTGGAATCTAGTTTCATATAAATTGAAAATTCAAATAGGAAAACTGAGTCAAACAATTTGTCATAAAGTCTAGTTCTCAATCAAAAACCATAGCCAATTTCTAGATGCAACCTGCTTGTGTTCAACTTGGTTGTTCCTTTAATGTTTTGTTCATTAGGATATATGAGATGATAGCATGCGCTGAAATAAGGTCACTGGGTAAAATGATATCGCTTAAATATCTGAAAATAATATCAAAGAATTATGATTTGTTTTTTTAGTTTTTGAGGTTTAGTATTCGGTTTCATTTGATTTCAAAAAATGTTTTCATTTAGGGGACAACAATTAGAACCATCTAGAAAACAAATTGTGTGTTCAAATATCCATCCACGAAAATCGAAGATCATGTCTATAAAAAGTAAGACTGATGATATCGGCTTTGGTGTGGCTGTTGTTGGGAATTAGCGTTGTTTATCACAAAATAAGATGTTTCGCTGCCTGAATCCGAAAATGTTTGCATACAATTAATTTTTTTTATATTAAAACAAGATGGATCAACATGGAAGGCAATATCTGTAGCAAAATTAAATGAAACATGTTTTATTTGAGTTGTTGAATTTAACAAACAAAACCAACAACATGAACAACACACGATTGTTTTTATTGATGAATAAACAGGATTTAGCAAAAAATACAAACAAAAAATACAATTGCTTTCATCTATTCATCAAAGGTTTAAGTTTTCGTTTTCCTCACTTGGAACATTAATGATTTCCTGTTGGTTAAGTCCACTCATATGAACGATATTATGACGAAGTTCCCAAGGATCAGTATAGCTGTCACGAGTCGCTTTGTTTGCATTTTGTGGTACTCGATTATTCCTTTTACTAATTCCAACTCTTTGTATCATTGAGTTTTTCTTAAAGCATTTTCTGAAATTGAAATCATTGTCATGAGTTGTACAAGACTACATGTGTGCTTTATGTTATCTACACTACCGTACCAAAAGTGAAGATAATTTAACGACGTCATATCAATTGCGGGTTGAAAGTGACAACTCCAAAAGCGGTTTTCTCTGTAAATAAGTTGGAGTTATCTCTCTTATTGCACAATTTGAACGTTTTGAGGTCCGTCACTGACCTGATACGTCACCGGAAGTTAGAAATCGTTTGCTTTGTTTACATTTTGTATAGTTTTGAGAATGGCCACAAAACGCAAGGAACTGTCATTGTCGGAGAAAATTGCCATTACAGCATTGCATAACGCTGGTGTGAAAGGACCTGATATTGCGCAGCAAATAGGACATCCACTTTCAACTATTTATGGGGTTTTTAAATCGTTTTAAAGGTCGAGGGGGTTTAAAAAACAAGGAGAGAACGGGTAGGCTAAATTTGCTAACACCGCGGAACACTCGCAAACTTTGCACCACTGCCAAATCTGATAGGAAACGTCCACTGCATGAAATAACTGCTGTTTTTAATGAATTGAGGGAAAAAAGTATTTTAGCGTACTGTTCAGCGAAATTTGTATGAAAAGGTGTACAAAAAGTGTGTTGTACAAAAATCCGTTAGAATTCGTGCTGCAAATGTCAAAAAAAGACTGGCATGGTGTAAATTGAACAGGCACAAATAAAGGCAATAGTAGCATACCGCTGTTCAATAGTCATAAATCGATTTAACTGAAACAAATCCGGGTCACCAACCAAAACTGGAGGAAACACATCAACTATAAGAGGAAACAAAACGGAACAACAGAAACACTAAACTGCTACAAAAACAAACGCCAACATACATAGAAACGGAATATGTGATAACAACTGCCATATTCCTGACTTGGTACAGGACATTTTAAGACAAAATGGTGGGTTGAACCTGGTTTAATGGCTAGCCACACCTCCCGCTTATATGGATATGTTAAAAATACCGCTAAAATGCCATATTACGTGACAGGAATACAGTACAAATAAATGCAAGAACATTCAGGACAGAGAAATACATAAATAAATAATATAATAGTACATTTCAACATATAAACGACAGAATAACAACGAACACCTAAAATTAATTTACGACAGAACACAAATACAGAACAATATTCGGGAATAGGTCACGTTCGGTACTTAGAAGACCAGACGACGTAGATGGTAAACCACAATATAAGATGTGGTAAAAATGTCGTTAGTTAGATTAGACTCAGACACAGACACATCTAGTATAGATCAACCAATTCGTGATGGTGTTCATAAAATTTACGAAGTGTCATCTTTCCTCCTCATAACTCTGTTCGAGCAGTTTCTGCGTGAGGAGCACAATCCTGTATATGAAGTCCGTATAGTGTGAACATGCACGAGCATAACGTATCAACTGAGATATGTAAACACCATACGATGGGGCAGAGGGTATGTTACTGCTGAGAAATGGGAAATTGACAATTGGGAAGTTGAAATCGTCCCGTTTGTCATAGAGTTTAGTGTGAAGTCGTCCATCTGTGTCAATATTGAGGAAAAGATCAAGGTATGAAGCAGTCCTTCTAGTATAAGTAGTATCCTTAATTTCAAGTTCACTGGGATATATGAGATGTAAGTACTGGCTGAAATATGGATAATTAAGGGATAGGACATCTTCAATATATCTGAAAGTAAAATTAAGGAATTTCGCAAGGTGCTTTTTCTTTTTGTCTTTTAGAAGGTTTTAAGTGAATTCTGCTTCATACGAGTACAAAAACAAATCGGCCAGTAGGGGTGCACAATTAGTACCCATTGGAATACCGACTGTCTGTTGAAATATCAAGACCAGCATTTTGATAATATCATCTTCAGTATATTTTCTGGTAGAATCAGTATGGTTCTTCACAAAATAAGAATTTTTGTAACCCAAAACAAGAAAGAATTCATTAGAAAACGTTATGATTAGATTCCAAGACGTTTGAGGCAAGTGATAATGGCAAAAGGAAACATCACAAAACATTAGGTGAGTTCAGATCATTTTATTAATTAAGTCTGTAGTTATGTAATGTTCGACATATGGTGAATCTTCATACTATCGGAATGGGTAGTGTGGCATACCAATGAAGAACAATTAATTGAAAATGAAATTCAATAAAGAAAATACCGCGGCAGCATAAACACAATAGATTCCCCAAAATAGATAACAATTCAAAAAAGATACACATTTTGTTTTAAAGATAAAGTAACAGTTGATTGATTGGTATTTCGATGATAACATGCATTTACGGATTTTTTCCAATGCAATAATGAATTGTAGTTTTTCGTTATGTTTGCGGTTCTTATAAAGGCAATCATACCATATCTCTTTATTTTTATAAATATTCATGACAAATATCCTACTGCCTTTCACATGGATCAGATGTTGACTGATATTGTGTACAGTAAATCATACAAATATACGTCATAACTTGAAATAGTTGAAGATGAAATTCACATTGTCTAAGTACTACACTAGCCCTTGTTTTTATAACATTTTCTCCATTAAATTAATTATCATAAAGAATATACAGTGTTTGGAATGTATATCATTTTTGACTTTATTGCTTGACATATTGTAAAGACATCTGTATATCGTTGATTATTGTTTAGTGACTTCTTGAGGTGTTGTTGTTGGGTTGCCAGTTGACATATACCTATACATCTTTAGTTATGTTGTGATTTGTCTTTTGGTCGTTTTTCGATTTTTTGGCCCTGACATTGTCAGTTCGTTTTCGACTTATGAATTTGACTATCCCTTTTGTATCTTCCGCCTCTCTTTTAATTAAATCATTTGAATAACAGACGAAAACATAATTGCTTCACATATAAAATAATGTAACAAATACCATAAACAATGGTACCATGATCTGAGAGCTAGTTCAAATTTCTAACATCTAATCTACTAATATAATATTCTGCCTTTTTACTTTGTTTAAAGATGGTTGGTTTTAAAGGTACCAAAAATCTCAAATGATCAATAAAATTGACATGATCTCTTGAAATCAGTTATGCACTTGGTAGCATGTTAGCAGACAGACTGTATTTTAAAACTCAATTCAATATCGTTTATATCATGTTTGATGGTTTTTGTTTATATTTTGTTTTTTTTCTGTAATTAAGTACTTTTGGTTCAAAGGTTTGGCTGCACTTGTAGAAATTTTATTACAAACCTATATACCAAATGTCATCTTCTGTTTTACGACGATATAATTTATGGAGCTCACCATTAAGATACGAGCCATATTAAGTTATTGTTTCTTTGAATACAATATTATTCGTAAAAGTAATCAACTTAAGATTGTAGTAGGATGTTTAAAGAGTGTTCTAGCATCAAATCTTTTGTTACACGTTATGGAGGTCGTTGTGCATTAACAACCCCCTTCACATTCATTATAGGTCTGTCCAAAGCCCTGAGCCCATAACTCAGTCACTGCTGTTTGTTGTTAGCTGCCATAATTGTGTTTCGTTTACTGTGATAGTATACAGCAAGTCGTTGGTTTACTCTTTTAATTTGTTTGTTTATTTTGCCCCCCCCCCTCCTTCCTGGCCCTTTTATAACTTACTTTAAATGGTAGGGGGTTTAATCATTGTAGAAGGCCGTACAGTGATCGGCTATTGTTCACATCTTTGTTCTTTGGTATTTAATGGATATTGTCTCATTGGCCAACACAACATCTCCTTATTTAATCTTAGTAAAACATGTTACCTTGAGATGATCCCAATGCAAATTAAAATACACAATCCAAAGAGAACAGCAGTCACCACAGCTATTTCTCCTATAACCAAACATAATGAATATGCAATTATTTATCTAAAGTGTAAATACAAGCAATACTATTGATGTGTTTTATGTAACTCTATATGTTTATATTAAACTGGAGTAAAATATTCCGGTTAATCCTGATGTTAGATTGGTTACCTACATTGTAAGCAGGGTGAATGAGCCCATATCTTTTGTGAAGGAAAACAAAGCTTAAATGGTAAATAGTGTAGAAATCAGGACACTCTAGTAAAAAATAATTGTTATTCAAGGTTCACTGGCGATATGGGCTCATATTCCTTGTCAGAGCTATATATCCACTACGTCTGGCGGATCAGGAGATATAAAACACGGACAGGGAATATGATCCCGAATAACACATGATATATTATCTTTTTTCTAATGAGTATGTTGCATATATGCTGCAAAAAAAGTTATTACGGTGAACTTGTATGTGTGCATGTACCTAGTCAAATGTTTATATATTACCATTAAAATAGAGAATTTCACAAACAATGTCTTTTTAATAATGTTAGAGACCACGCTATATTACAATAATTCGAAACTTTATATTAATATTGTAGAGCTAAGTATTAGCAAAAAAACTCCAATGCAAATTCAAAAAGTAGAAAAGACTTTTTATAGGAATTTGCCGAAGAAAATGGTGGTTAAAACCTAATTTGAAGCTAGCTATACTTCCACTTGTGTGACAGTTGTTTAAAGTTCCGTTATATTGACCAATGTGTGTAAGAAATCCAAAAGAACTTCAAGGAACAATATCATTATAGGAACCGGAACTTTGCATTTCACATTGACAAAATTTAAAACGGACACATAAAGCTCACATCTTTCGCCAAACCTTTAGTTTTTTCCTTCAATTTATGTACTTTCTTCCATCATTGATGAATTACCCGTTTTTTTCCCCCTTAACAGCAAATAAATCAAGCACAGATGTAACCTTTATGGTTTTATTGCCGTACCATTTTAAATTATTTATTAAAATTCAACACTAAAAATGTACTTTGTGCATTTATAAAGTCATGCTGATAAATTATGTATAACTTCACTTTCTTTTTCTTGTAAAACTGCTTTTAGGCGATTTGTCACGGTTAGCTACATGTAAATAGATATAGGAAGATGTGGTATGAGTGCCAATGAGACAACTCTCCATCCAAGTTACAATTTATAAAAGTAAACCATTATAGGTCAAGGTAAGGCCTTCAACACGGAGAATTGCTCACATCGAAGAGCAAGCTATAAAGGGCCCCAAAAAATTACTAGTGTAAAATCATTTAAACGGAAAAACCAACGGTCTAATCTATATAAAAACGAGAAACGAGGAACACGTATGAACTACATAAACAGACAACTACTGTAATCAGATTCCTGTCTTAGGACAGGTGCACACATTTGCAGCGGGATTAAACGTTTTAATGGTACCAAACCTTCTCCCTTTTCTGAAACAATAGTATAACATCACAACATAGAAAAACACACTATAAAATATCAATTGGAAGGCTTAACTCAATCAAAAAACGTAAATTAACACACAATGAACGAATACATTTGACCTGTGACACCTAATTGCAAATACACATTTAATAAAAAATTACAAGGGATAAATAATTAAAGTCAAAAGTAAATAAACAAGTTTAAACAAAGTTAAAGTATGATATCACTGTGAAATTTCAAACAATTTTTAGAAAATCATCACTTTTGAAGAAACCTGCGTCATATTATACACATGTAAATGAAAATAATTTTGTTGTTAAGTAAACTTCTTCTTCTGTGTGTATAAAATCTTCCGTTTAGGAATACCAAGAAATTTCTTAAATATCAATAAAACTAATCTTACACTTGGTACATATGGGGTGAATATCAACAATAAAAATATACAATTAGTGCTAGATAAAACTTTCTGTACAGGTCCAAGAACAGCATCTAAGAAAAAATGAAATAATTTTGATGTTCATAGTACGAAGAAGTGAAAATTTGTAGTAAATTAAATACCAAATAATCAAAGCTGATATATAGACAAGATCCATGTTAACATTAAATAACAAAAAAGCATTACAAATAGTATCAACAGGTCAAATAAAAAAGAAAGTACGATTTGAGAGAACTCGCAGTTACTGACAGCTAGTTAAAAGCCAAAACAATTAATAATACAAAATCATGCATCAGAGACTAAAATCAACTAAAATACATCCCAGGGATTTAGTATTTTAACGTCATGAACAGTCAAAGAAGACATGACATGTATCAGGTCCAGTTTTTTTAAGATGTCATACCAAATGTGTGATTCTTTTCACCAGGTTTTTGAACGTCAGAAATGTTTTTAGAAGTAAGATTACATGATGTATCTAGAATTGCATCTGTTGAGTCTGCAGGCGTTCTTCTTTGATCTACAAGATAAACAAAATGAAGGGCAAGTATTAACTTGGAATCGTTTTTTTTTTTTGTCAAGTTTTTAACAATTTGCTCAAATGCTGGAACCTGGAAGGAGAATATATGTATTAATGTGTTTTCCCTACTCAGCAATACTACTAGCATAAATAATGCGTTCTTATGAATATGTGTTAAATACGCAGTCACTCCCACTTGGAATAATGACGTGTCATCCGATGCTCTGTGTACTGATTGTATTGCTTGCACTTGATGATAGATAAAGCTTAAGCAATAACTCTGAATGGTCCATAGATGGCGAACTGCATAGCTACATTTCTGTCTCTATCAAACACAACCCTTTTCAAAACTGCAATCCTACTGTCCCGAACTTTATCTCGAATGACCTATGTAAAACAACAAAATTGATATGCATATTTGATGATTTTTTTAATTAATTTACTCGTCCTGAATATGTTAAACATTATCGGCCTTTCCACTATACTGTTAAGCAAAGAATTAGCAATTAATCAATCACAAATACAAGAAAAAGAAACGAAAAAACGAAATGTCAAAATTACCTCATCGTTTTCCCAATTAAATTACCATCGCTTTATTGTAATTTAAAAAGCAAGAACTAAATAGATGTAGCCTATTTTGTCATCCTGAAGGTGCAACAATTTCGTGTGTAGGTATCTAGATTTCTAAGATATATTTCGTATGCTCATCTGTTGATATTTTAAGGACTAATACCATCCAAATTTATATCCAAGTATTTTAGATATCTACAAATGTTTTTTTTTTTGAAAATTAGAATGAAGCTACATAATATTATTAAACAAAGTTACACACGACATGCATATATTGATTCCTTTTTACACCCGGATATGTTTGCATATAAAAACAAACTTACCCAACAGCGTATTAACATACAATACAATTCGTATACACATTTATTTACACATGCAACATGCCCGTTTGCTGTATTACTATACTCTTTAATTGAAATAAAAAATTCAAAGAATTTTCGTGTTTTGACTTATTTTTTCTCCTTGCATGTTTTAATTATTAAAATATTTTTGTCCACCTAACACATATTGTGTGGTAAAGTGTTAAATCAGTTATCAAGATATGAAAACTGAAAACTAGTTAAATTTGAAATCTATGTATTTTTCATAATATAGATAGTAGATATAAGAAGATGTGGTATGAGTGCCAATGAGACAAATCTCCATCCAAGTCACAATTTGTAAAAGTAAACCATTATGGGTAAAAGTTTTTTATTTATCTATTTATTTATTTTTGCATAATAAGTTGGTTGGCATCTGCTGTTCTTTGCTTTTCGAAAGGTGCACCTATTTTTCACATCTCCACATTGTAGAATTTATCTACCTTCTTAATAATATTACACAAAATTAAATTTTTATTTGATTTTTATCAAATTAATATATTTTCGTCCTAATATGACTTTGATACCTGTCACAGGAAGACATAGCCTAAACCAATCAACTTCTAACTTCTTGCATGTGTTTTTCTCCTCTTACGAAGGTAATTAATTCAATGTACTGTTTTTTATTTGATGTTAAAAATAGATGATTTCTTTTATATTTTTCAATGACAAACTGAAGCTATAAACATTAACTAACTTTCAAACAAGTTAGTAATATGAGTTTTGTATCTTTTGTTGGTCTTTGGCAATATGTTCCACAATTTCCTGATTTTTTTCTCACCTTGTATTAATTAAATAGGACATGTTCAGTGTTAGATATTTAGATGATATATTGGCTCTCAATAATGACGACTTCAGTATGTACACTAAAGAGATTTATCCTGCCGAACTGACTTTAAATAAAGCTAATACTAACAATGAAACTGCCCTTTCCTGGATCTTGATATCTTTATCTTTAACGGGAAGCTTAATATCAAAATTTATGATAAAATAGATGATTTTTCATTTCCTATTGTTAATTATCCATTTTTAGATGGTGACGTTCCCTTGTCGCCATCTTATGGTGTTTATATATCTCAACTTGTTCGATTCGCTCGTGTATGTAACAACGTATTTGATTTCAACGAAAGAAATCTCTGTATTACTGAAAAATTATTACACCAGGATTTTCTCGCTGCATTGAAGACCCATTGGTGGCCTTCGGCTGTTGTCTGATCTTTGGTCGGGTTGTTGTCTCTTTGACATATTCCCCATTTCCATTCTCAATTTTATGTCGTAATAACGACATCGACATCGCTATGTCGTAATTACGAATATGTCGTAATTACGAGATATTTTTTTCGTTATCGCGTGCGAGTTATGACGTTGTCACGTGTATATTGACTTCTGGAAATGGCAACCAGTACAAAGAAGAAAGGTATGTAAAGAATTGTCCATTATAAATAGCAAAAGTTAATGGTCAGATACACACAAAATATGTTTGTTTTCAAATTTTAGAATAGAGAATGCACACGGGGAATGTGTCCAACAGACAACAGTCCTACCAAAGAATTGACAATTTGTTACAGTAATAACCCTTTGGGCAATCACTCGAACCTGGAATCAGGTTGCAGATGGTCCCTATATATATATAACGGTTTATATATTGTAATTATTTCAGCGAAATAGACGCCGCACTAAACCCAGAAACACAAGAATTAAGAAATATTAAAGATAAAATGTAATACAAAATAAGATATCTTTCATATTCAATTGAACGATATTTGGTTGAAACACATGCATTTGATGAATTCTTTCCAAATAGTCTTTTTCACTTAAATCGTTTACAATCACTACACGACTCTTTTGCGCTCAGACAAGAATATATTGTATATTTAAGGACAGTGTCATAGTTAGAAATTGCATTAAATTTCCTTTAGATTTTTATAGGGAATATTCTTATTTTTATGTTCAATAGTTTGGACATTTTGGAAATTTAATTTTACAATTGGCTTAAAACATTTTGAAGTTTGGTTCACAAGTTTTCTTTCACTTTATTATCTATCTTAAAAAAGAAATATAAGGTGTAAATCTGCTAAACAAAGAAAAGATTATTTTCAAGTTATCTTGTATGTATTATCTCGTCTATGAAAAAGCAAGGCGACAGATTAAATTATATAATGTCCATTAGTTCTTTTGTGGGGGTTAACAAATAAATACTTTATGTAATTAGACGTCTTTTGACAAGAATAAAGAAGGAAATAGAAATAGCCACATTGACAATGAGTGGTTTTGCATGTGGTACAATAATTTGCCACGTTTACACTGAAAATTTTGTAAAATAAAGTTTGATTGGCTGAAAACCTGAAAATTAGTTTAAATCCATGGATTCACTTTTTTGCTTGATTAGCGTCACTCTGCCATACGCTATCAAGCAATAAAGACTCTTTTTTATTGAATCCTTGGTTTTGACTATTTTCAGGTGAGTACATATTTTATATATATTTTTCTATCATGTTTTAAAAACTAAGGATGTGATTTATTTAATTTTGAAAGGTTAATTGATTGAATTAAATATTGGGTTGTTAATTCAAATTATTTAAGAAACCGTCAAAAAATGTAAATTCAAAGCATTCCTTGATATTCTGTTTGAAAAGTTAACTAAAGTATTTTGGGCAAAAAGTCCTTAATTTGGTAAACGGAAACATAACTTGTATATATATATTGGTTTCGAAGTTACAGTTTAGTTTGTAATAGTTTTAGTTTACTTCTTTATGTTTAATTATCTCACTGTGTACAGATCTTGAATGTACAGTTAAGTTTTAGTATTGCGGGCTGCCATAGATTTATTTATTTATATGGGAGATAACACAGGGTTTACTTGCGACAAAATTGTGGGACCAATAATATTGTGTATTTTCACCAGTTTAGAGCCAAAATAAGTCATGGTTAGTGTAATACATTTATTATTCAATGCATTAATGTTAGTTTTCCATCGTCGCTAAGTAACAAAGCTTGTGTAAGCAAAGAAACGTTAGTTCTCCTGATTTCCCATTCCAGCCTTGTGATTTCTGTATTTTGAGAATTTGTTTATTAAGTATCCAAATAGTTTAGACTGATGCCTGTAGTTTAAGTGCATCTAAATATATTACTTCATTTTAATTGTATATTACTTTAGAGTAAAATAAGCTTAGTAGTCCCAGAATGTTTAATTTTAGTATGTGAGCTAGGTCCCCAGAGATAACTTAAGTAGTTATCCCCCCTTGATATGCAAATTTGTTTACATGGGTTTGTTTGAATTAAAATAATTTGTATATACACTTGTTTGAGATTAATTACATGTTTCATTGTGGCAAGAGCTATGGAGAGTCATTTAAAACAGTGTGGATTGTTTATATTTGGTTTTAATATTTTATAAAGATAAACAAATTTAATGTTCAAGATTTTAGTAACAAGACAAATTAAAACTTATGTCTGTTTGGTTAAGGCGTATTAAAATCATGTTCCCTATTCAGTAATAGACATCAGTTAGGATGTTTTATCTTTAAATTATATATTTTATTTGGTCTTATTATACTAAGCCATGTAAGGCTTAGTTTATGAACTATTGATATTGTTAGTTTGCTGCCTATTATTATGTTTTGATGTATCATATATTATAGACTCTGCCATACGCTATCAAGCAATAAAGACTCTTTTTTATTGAATCCTTGGTTTTGACTATTTTCAGGCCTGCCAAAGACAATTGTGTCAGCTCTCTTTAACATGTTTAAGAAGCACGCAGCACCTGAAAGTTATCTCGCCACATAGTTCATCACCCTGCTTGCTCTACCCACCCAACAAATACATAGAAATCTTAGTTGTGTCAACTGGTGGACGACCCAAAAATCCTGGTTATATATGAGCTATTGGCTGAGATCTGCAAACATGCCACAACCCATCAATGCCAACAACGTAGAGGCACCCCTGATCCAGATTTTACCAGAGGAAAGGGTACAGATCCACTTGCCACCAAACCATGAGAACCAAGCTCCAGCACCAATTGAGCCACAACCAGCTCCACAGCAGGTTCAACAAATACCAGAG